CCCGCCGAGGGGTGGGCCCCGGGATCGGTGCGGCGGGGCCGTGGGGAGGCGGGTGTCCGGGCTGCCCGGGGGTCCCCACCGCCCCCTGTGACCCCCGACCGGGCACCTCGCCCTGTGCTTTACCCTCTCCAGATGAAGACGGGGACCTGATTGCTTTTTCCACCGACGAGGAGCTGGAGATGGCGATGCCTTACGTGCAGGACGGCGTCTTCCGTGTTTACATCAAAGGTGGGGTCGCACAGCTCCGAAGGGCGGTAGCAGGGGCTCTGCCCCGTGTGCTCCCCTGCAGGCCTCCAAAAACGGGAGAAACAAGCCCTGGCCCTTCCCTGTGTCCTCAGGGGCCTGGTGCAGCCCTTGGGGGGAGGTTAAATAAAGGGCAGGGTGATAGGCCAGAATACGAATCTTCCCTGAGGTGGGGTAAACATCACAAGTTTCCTCCTAGCACTGTCATCTCAGCTGGGCCGAGGCACTGTTGTCCTCTTGGCTCCCTGGAAGTGTGAGATTAGCAGTGATATCTTTGATACTCACAATGTGTCAGGAAGCTTTAGTTTTACCCTCTTTTTCAGCACGTTGTGGCTGCCTGGTCCCTTCTGTTCACGTAGATACCTGCAGAGCTTTATCTGCAGTCAGTCTAAGGAGTTACCAATGCTGTTGTCCCTGTTGTGCCTCCTGGCATTTCTTCCTAACTCCCTCTCCAGAAACATTTTGTTCTTGCAATGCTTAGGAAGGTAGGATGAGAAGCCAAGTGGGGTGGTGCAGCACTACTCCAAAATAAACACGCCCAGAGACTGTTAAGGCTAAGGCATGCTGAGTGTGAGGGGCAGGTACCTTTGCAAAACCCCTTCACACTTGGTTTTAAGTTCTCTTGCATGTCCCCAGCTTGTGTCTGGCAGCCAGTGTAAAAATAAACTGACCTAGTAAGTTAATACTGCTCTGACTGGGGGCAGTTTGTGCTTCCCTGTGCTCCTCTGCCCGATTTCCAACCTTGAAATAGCAACCCTGTTCCCCTGACAGAGAAGAAGGAGTGCCGGCGGGACCACCGCTCGCCCTGCAGCCAGGAGCCCCCCCGGGACATGGTGCACCCCAACGTCATCTGCGACGGCTGCGAGGGGCCCGTGGTGGGGGCCAGGTTCAAGTGCACTGTCTGCCCAGACTATGACCTGTGCAGTGCCTGTGAGGGGAAGGGCATCCACAAGGAGCACAACATGGTGATGTTTCAGAGCCCACTGCTGAATCCTTTCGAGGTGAGCAAAATCTGTGGAGGGGAACTAACGAATAGGATGTTCCTCAAATTCCAGTCAGAAGTTGCAGTTGCTCAGGCTCTGGCTGCGTGAACACTCACATGAACATTACCCTCTACAGTGGCTTCCCCGCGGGCGCTGGCTCCGTAAGATGCGGCACGGTGTTCCACCCTTCCCGTGGATGCACTGCTGGGGATATCCTGGCCCTGCAGCTCCATGCCAGAACTCCGAACAAGCCCAAACCAGTGCTGCAGCCTCCAGTCCACCTGCTGCGGAAGGTAAGAAGGGATGCTCTGGTAAACAAGGTGGTGGTGGAGGCAGAGTAGCTGAGATTCTGCAGCATGGGATGGAATCTGGGTGGAAAAAGAAACATAGGAACTAACCTAATTTGCCTGAAATGTAATTGGCACATTTCAGCACAGAGTGGGATAATTTTAAACCATGCTTAGGCCTGTGCAATAGATGAGGATACAGAGACTTATCTGGAACCAAACCAAGCCAAGCTGTTAGGTCAAGCATGCCACTCTACATCCGCCTTTCAGCATGGCTAATGAGCCTTAACAAAGCTAATGCCACTGGTTTTCTGTTCCAGAGGTAGCTCAGTTAGTTTTTGTCTCTATCCTGCCTTTGTTGTGCAGTGTGAGTGACAGCAAACAGGCACCAAGATCTCATGGTGCTCTTTCC